ACCGCCGGCAGAACTCCACTATAATGGGTTCTAAGGGGCCTAAGGTGAAGGGGTATGTATATACACTAAGATACCCTTCAACGTGAGTCATAATCGACTCGTCACGGGAAGGGGCGACCGGGTCTTTCCCTTCCCATCTACATTCAGCCCTCACCCGGTCTAGGCAACCGGGAGTGATTAGGCTGATATACTCCGATGCCGGTTCGCCGCGGCCCGGGACCGATGATGGGTTCTCAACCTGGAAGTCGGCAGATACCGAGCAACCAGTCGGTGTAAAAGCTTTCAATGGGGGTTCTGGCGCAGGTTCATCAGATCTAGCGGGGCTCGCAGACGAGCTTGGTCTAGAAGGAACACTTTGTGAAGTTTTCGCCATTTCTTGAAGCTTTACGAAGAGATGAAAAGAAAATACAACCAACGCAAAATTTGAGAAAGATAAGAAATGTTGAACCTGGAAGGGTCGTTTATACTTTTCCCATGAGGCGGCGGCGCGAATCGCGAAGTTACAGACACGAAGCGACAGATAATTAAGAGAAGCATTAAATGCCTGCAGCAGACGTGGTCAGAGCACTCGATGGCTTTTTCAGCTGGCGTATGGCCATACGTCACGGGCATCACGTCACCTATCATATCGTTTATTATCATTACTCTCTAATAAACGAGGGGACTATCTGTATTGGGTGATACCCTTTTTGCTTGAGCCCGACCGGGTTGGGTCCGGTCCGGGGCAAGTCGGGGCCATCGAACCCGACCTGGATGCAAGGTAGAACGACGGCCACGTCAACGACCGAGGTCGAGTCATTTCGAGACCGTTGCAGAGCTCGATATGAGTCACCACCGGATGGAGAAACACACAAGGTCGGAAGCCGGACTCGTAACGGATAACCAAGCGTCGCCGGATATCTCGCCCAAACGTGATTTTCTCAACCACTTCAGGCCATTAAGGCGTAATTACAGGGATCCACGATGTAATTAATTTACCTACCTTATTTTTACCCTTAATCAGAATGTATAAAAAGGGAGAAGACCCCATAAAGAGGGGATCGGAAACCATTAGACTACAGTACCATCTCTCTCAATTCTTGTACGCTATCAAGCACAATTGTTCTAAGCAATATTATATTCTGCGATTATTTACTTTAACAGCAATTGTTGAGTCTTTATCTTTTATTTTCCTCAATCCAAACCTTTTGTATCTTTTAGTTCACGGATCCTTAAAACCCCATATAAATTCAATTGTTATCCGGATTCCAGGGTAAACAACTTTTGAAATGAAATACATTTTTTCCTTATTCTTTCTGTCTTCTGAATTCAAAGTTCCCATCAGTTCATCTGGGGTTTCACATTCTTTAAAAGAATGTTGGGTTTTTCAAACCAATCCCAAAAAAAAGAGAGGAGAATGTTGGGTTTTTATTGATTTGCTTGTAAGGATTCAGAAAATTTTAATTCTTGATGTGCCATTTTTTTTTTTAATAACTGGAGTATTTCAAAGTTCTAACAGAAGTAGAAGGAGAGAGTTATTCAAGAAAAAGAGGATTCAGTGATGGCTACAAGAGGTTGTGTTCTCCAGAGAATTTACAGAGGTTAGAAAAATTCCCCGTTTTTCTGTCTATTTTAATCATATGGTTTTTTGTTTCCAACAAACTCTTTGATGCTGTCATCTTTTCTTAAGGGTTTTATTCTTAGAATCTGTCAATCTGATGGTGGTTTTTTTTTTTTACGGAAACCAATATTTTTTAACTTGGGGTGGGGGTGGGGGGTGGGCTGGTTCTTGGGTTAAATGATTTTGACTTTAATGGTTATTTCTTCATAATTTTATGGCCTCCTTTCAAATTTCATGCTACCCATGGCTCTTTTTATTTTTATTGTTTATGTACAAGAAGCCTATTTATCATAATGAAACTATATAGAACAAATAGTCAAATAGAGTAAAGAATAAAGTTAATTGGAAATAATATCTGCTGGAGATGACACTCTCATTGTCCACTAAGAGAATCGTCAGTAAGAGGTTAATTGAGTATCTTGTCTCCTATTTTTCTGTTCAATACGGATGATTGTCTTTTGTCAGTTTGTTGTTACTGTTATTGTTTTTCTGGGTGTCTCTTTAATTGTACTGGTGTGCAGAACAAAGAAGATTGAAGGTCATAAGGTGAACGATTTCACCTAAAATAGACACTTTTTGCTTACTTATTACTTTGTGTTTATATCCTTATCCTTATATCTATCAGTAAACTGGATTTAGAAAGGAAAAAAAAAAAGGTAAGGAGAAGTGTGCTGATAGGTACCTTTCTGTTAGAAGGTGGATTGTATTTTACTATTTTGCCACTTCAATTTGAAGGTGTTGCTCAATTAAAAGGCCATGAGGATGTGGGTGAAGATGAGTTTACTGATGTCTACAACAACATCAACAACATACCCAGTATAATCCCACAAGTGGGATCTGGGAAGGGCAGTGTGTATGCAGACCTTACCCCTACCTCGTGGAGGTAGAAAGACTGTTTCCGAAAACCCTCGGCTCAAGTAACAACAACATCGATATAGTAAAATAAGTGAAGCTAAAGAAATAACATGTAGAAATATAGCTCTACGAACAGAAAAAAAAGGAAAAAAGAAAAGAAAAGAAAAAAAGACTACAAGACTAATACTACTGCCACTAGGATGACGAAGGAATACACCCAGCTTCCCCTTAACCTTCTATCTTAATCCTCGGCTTCCACACCCTCCTGTCTACGTAATGTCCTCAGTAAGTTGAAGTTTCATCATGTCCTGCCTAATCACCTCACCCCAATACTTCTTAGGCCTACCTCTACCTCTTCTCATGCCCACCACAACCAATCTCTCACAACTCCTCACGGGGGCATCAACGACTCTCCTTTTCACATGCCCATACCATCTTAACCTCACTTCACGCATCTTGTCCTCCACAGGGGTCACTCCCACCTCGTCCCGAATAACTACATTTTATCTTGCATATTTTGTACGTTTCTTGTGGGCTAGCTTGTGATCAAACAGGATAATTTCTGACGGTTGTACAAGTTAAAGAGGGACAATGGTGTGGAGAAAATGTTCTCCTAGAAATTATAGTATTTCATAATTCAATTGTAGGTGAGGAATTGATCAAGTTGACATCCCAAATCCTGATATTGTTTTTTGTTTATTTTGTGTGTTACCTACCTTTTAGTTAGATTGACTGTGGTAGTGGTTGGTATTGTAAAATTCTTTCTATATTGTTGACAGGAGATGGATGGAATGAAGGAAAAACCACAAAAGCATATGTATACTTTGAGTTCGAAGATCATGTTTTAACCCGTCGTTCTCCATCCCGGTGCGTTTTCTCTATGTAACTCTCCTTTTTCTTTACTGTAATCTTCTTCTGGAAACTGCAACTGTTCTATGTTGATTGTCTTAATTATGAGGAAAGATTTGATTCTGATTGAGAAAGATTTGATTTTGATTGAGATTTGAGTTTGTTTTGATTAATTGATTGTAATTTATTTCCTTTTCTAAAATAGTCATAGGATATAGTGTATAAATACCTCTGCTTAGGGATGCGAGAAATAGACAGAAATACAAGAAACCTTTTTCTTTTCAAAATCTACATGGTATCAGAGTCATTGCTGCCTTTTTTAGGCGAGTTATCTCCCTTGCATCACTAGAGTTCTGTTTTTATCAAAAAAAGGTAGAGTTTTCTCTCTCTTGGTGGTTGTCCGCAACACAAACTCCTTCTAGTAAGTTTTTTATTTTTAGAATTTTCTTTCTGTTAGGGTCGCTGAAACATTCCGAGCCTATCTCTACTACTTTTAATTTTTCCGTTTACCGAAGTTAAGGTTCCGTCGAGACAGATTTAGTTTCCGGCGAGGCAGATTATTTTTGAGCAGTTTTCTCCAGATTTCCTTTTGATTGGGCAGAAAATAAGGATACATTCAAGGAGACCGTTCCTGGAGAAATATTGTCTTCGGATGAAATTCACCTTCTCCGTCGCCTCCTAGCAAAACTTGACTCGCTAATATTGCCACATCTAATTATGTGCAATCAGGCACTGCCTTTACTGCTCACCTTAATTCTTGGATTGTTGATTCTGGTGCAAATAGACACATGACAAGTTCTTCTAAAGGCATTCAAAACTATTCTCCGTGTCTCAAAGGCGATAATGTTAATATAGCCAATGGTTCTTTAACACCTATCTCTGGAACATGTTCGGTCGTTTGTACTCCTAATATTAAACTATCATCCGTACTCCATGTCCCTCCATTCCTTGTCAATTTTTTATTTGTTATTTGTCACTTTTTACTTTTTAGCAGTAGCCAATAAAATAAAGGTTCTTAGTGCGTTCTTCAACAGTATGTTGTAGATAATTATTAATAGAGTTTAAAAATGAATTATACAACCAAATCAAGATCGTTTTCATATAAAACTAGCTATTTTTAGGAGCAATAAATAAAATGGAACCAAGGAACTTAATTATATTATAAGATAAACTTCCACATTACAAGAGTGAAAAGTCACATTTCATGTTGCTTATAGCTTAAACAAGAATTGATGGTGACAATTTAGGTTCCAATTTAGTAGCCCTCAACGAGCTTTATCATCCAACATATGGCTTTTCTCTAATAAGGCCATTCGCATCGGGGCAAAGCCATACACGATTGCAACAAATGTCAGTGGTACGAAAACAATGACGATCCGCTAGCGGGACACCAGTAACAAAAGGATTGGTACGTTCAACTATGGCCTTGGCTTTTAAGATCTCAACGCCGAGCAACTCCGGCCACTCATATGGAATTGTATCTCCCGGTTGTTTGCAACTATTGCCGGTACAACCGCAATTAAGACAAGGAGGATATACAGCCATAGATTGAGTAAGAAATACAAAACCAAGAGAAAAAAGGATTATGATTTTTTCCATTTTAGGCTGTTTGTGATGTTACTCAAATGGAGAAGGAGCTTCAACTTTATAGGGATGTTAAGATACTTACCACATATCCATACCTTAGTATTAATATGTTCTCACCTTTTATTAATCTTACTTGTTTGACTGCACTCCCAGATTTCGTAACATATATATGTTCACATCTGTCACCTTTAATTAAGATAATTTATTTCCTTTGATGATAGATTTTGTCATAAATATGTTCACACTCATTACCTGTGTACATTCTCAATCTCTAAAAGGTAAATAGTTATATCCCCACCAGTTGTTTATATCAAATTAAGTTATTTAATCTTAGCAATTAAAAATTAATGTCATAAATACACCTCAATTAAGTAAAGTTAGCTAATATGTATGTGTAAGAAAAATATATATTTTGTACTAATCGGTTTGATGTAACTGATAGACTTTTTTGATACATATATTCATGATTCATACTGCAATAATATTCATTACAATTTTATCAAAATTAAGGTGACACTACTTGCATTTTCAATTGTTATGAAGACATATAAGTCAAACTAAGTATAGTTTCAAAAGGTAAAGGCACAGTTCGTGATCTTTTGTTTGTCATGGAGTCGACATAAGCGGATGATGTTGGTAAATAGTCACTTTTTGGGTTGGCTATTAGAATTTAGCCATATTTTAAATTGTAAAGGCAAAGTAGCCACTTATTAATGTAATGGGTACGAATGGACAAAAATACCCCTATCTAAAATACGAAAGAACTGCAGTACTGGACTTTGAACATTTATAAGTTCAATATCCAGGAATTATTTCTGGAGTTCCCCTATATGTAAAATCCAGCACCGTGTACTTGAGTTGGAAACTTTGAAAGGTAATCCAGCATCATATGCTGTTTTAGGACTGTGATGTTCTACTCAATTTAAAGAACCAGAAGAAGTTCCATGAGCAGATAAGCAAAGAACCAGAAACACCAAGCCCTGCTCGACCACTTGGTACAAAGAATGTGGTGGGTCCACGAGCAAATGGGAGCGCCAATGGGTCAGCCAACAGAAGGTTGTCTCTTAATCACACCAAAATGGTTCTACGTCAACAGCTAAAAATGGGAAGACAGACCACTCAAGAAAGGTGCCTCCTGTGAACAATTTGGCCATTTCAAAAGTTGATGCAGCCTCTCAGATTTACTCAAAAGATGGTGGCCCAGCACACCATAGTAGCTACTAAATAAGAGACATATATGTGATATCTTCTTTTATCATTAGTTGTGCAGTTCATGTAGCAGGATAAACATTTTGGCGAGTAATCATATAGTGGAGACCAACTAACTATTTGTGTTATAGTGGCAATTTTGTTGGGTTTTATGAATAAAGGTTTGAACGGGAAATAGAGGGAAATGAAATTTTGAATTTGTTCCTTTTAGAAAGGAACTTTGTCTTTCATTGGATAGGAAGAGAAAAATTCTTGCGCTTATATATGGAAACACTTCTTCTAACTATTGAAAGATTGAGGAGAGCAAGCCTCGCACCATCGCCGTCATCGCTCGGCTCGGCTTCGGGGGAGTTGGTTAATTCCCAAACAGTCCTTAACAGAAATTTAAAAATTTCCACCGAACAGACACACATCTCCGAACATGTACCTTTGCACCTATTGAGCCTCATATTCATTAGCTATAAATACAGAGGATTAGCATTATTATCTGCACTTCTGCATTGTTTTTCGAAGCAAAAAATAAGCATCAAATGTGATTTGACCCGCCTTTTGAGTTCGCCGAAGTTCTGTGATTTGTAGTGCCGCTATCACATAATAGTATTCTATTGTATCCTGAGATGAATTAATCCAAAATCTTGGCCAACTGTGAGGGGATTAAATTCCTTAAGGACACACAAACAACTTGTGGGCTCGAAATGATTTTCTGTTTTTGTTTATTGGACTAACATTTCATTGCTTCTCTGGTTTTCTAGTTTTGAACACAGATTGAAAACAGCAATATTAGAAAGTCCCTTTGAAAAAAAAAAAAACTTAGAACTCCAGTATCATATGCTAGAGTTTCACCTTTAGAAGGCCTGAACTCCAGTACATACTGCTGGAGTTTCACCTTTAGAAGGTCTAAGAAAACTCAAACACCAGAAATTATTTGTGGATTTTGAACTCTAGTACATTATCCTGGCGTTCCATTTGCCAAAGCTTCGAAACAATTTTAATACTACTTTTAGTGTCCATCTCTTTTTGGGTAGAAAAGAAAGGCTATTATTGATACTTAAGGATGCATTACAGTGATACTGCTAGTGGTATTAACCATAGGTACAGTAGTAGTAGTAGCATTAGTGTTACTGATAATACAACACAGATTTCCTAGAGTAGCTAGGTTGTTACAAACATTAGTAGAGATTAGTTTGGTAGTTCCTACGCCTTCTGCATCTTGTTGGATAAGTTTCAAGATAGTAGTAGATGGAGTCAAAATAGTGGAGTGGTTGGATGGAGCCCTCCTTATTCCTTGTTGTGCTAATGCATGGGCTACATTGTTACTCTCCCAGAAGCAATGCCTGATTTGAGGATTCCCCAGTTTCTTCAGTAGGTACCTGCATTCAAGAGCAATATTTAGATAAGTGGGGTAGTCTTGTTCAAGTAAGTGAATGACTTTGGTAGAATCTGTTTCTATTTCTAGAGGTAGCAGTTGTTTGTCCCATGCGATCAGGAGTCCTTGTTGATGTACTAGCAGCTCTATGTAAGTGTGATTGTAACCAAATTGGCATTTAGCAAAGGCCAAGACAGTTTCCATTGACGTTTCTGAAAATTCCCCCGATGCCTCCACCCTGCGTTGCACTTTTGAAGGATCCATCTGTATTGAGCTTATAGTGGCCTAATGGGGGTGTGTGCCATATAATTTGGACACGGTGCTTGTTCTCCGAGCTAGTAACATATTGTTACTTCAATTTCGTTTCCATATTGTTACAATTTCATTTCCATATTGTTACAATTGATATTGTGGTCTACTTCAATTTACTTTTGATTTTCTAATGGTCTCGGAAGCTTCTATTTACCTTATATAATTCATCATATAGTGTTATGTGTATAGTTCTACCTCCACAAAGGTAGGGGTAAGGCCTGCGTACACACTACCCTCCCCAGACCCGACTATGTGGGATTATAGTGGATATGTTGTAGTTGTAGTGTTATGTGTATAGTTGGAGACAGAAGATTTTCTTTTTCTTTTTTGTGTTCTGGAGGTAAAGGGTTTCATAGGCGGAAAGCAAATTCCTGAACGCTGGTGGTTGAACGAGGGTTCTTAATTTTGATCACTACAGCTTTATCTATCTTACAAATACATGACTGTTTTATTGCCTGCCTGCAGATTTCATTTCTATGAGTCCTACATCAAGTAGGCAGTGGCGGATATAGTGTGTTAGCAACGGGTTCAATTGGGAACCTACAACAACTACAAATACAGAGGTAGGACTCATCAAGTAGGCAGTGGCGGATGTTGATAATGGCACCCAATCATAATCAACCTCTTGATCAAAGACTCTCCCAGCAGGATCGTCCTGTACTCTGTTGTTTATAGGCAGCTCTTCCGTTATGTCCATTTCAATCAACGCTCTGGCACACGAGATCCTTGCTGAATCATCAGCATATATATGCCTCCCTATTTCCTCTAGCAATTCTGCTCAAAGTGATCTTTCCCAAGCAGTTAGGAAATATTACCCACAGTGGAATGGTTTTAGCACTTCGTCATGAAAGTTAATCTCAGCAGATCAAGGCTTCAACATTACCGGTTTATTGTTAAGGATGATAGGAAATATTAATGGGTATGTTGTTGTTAATGGTGTAAGGTCCCGAGTATAATACCTCGTTCCTATCATCCATGCTACTGAAGAGTATAACAAAATGTCCTACATGAAATACTTGAGATAGACGCTTTTATTTACTTTTTGTATCACATACTTTGAGTTTATATCCTTATCCTTAAATCTATCAATAAACTGGATTTAGAAAGAATTAAATGGTTATGAGAAGTTTGCTGAATAGAGACTGTATTTTGCCACTTCAATTTGAAGGTGTTGCTTCATTAAAAGGCCTTGAGGATGTCGGTAAAGATGAGTTTGCTAAAGTCTATCTTGTGTTTTTTTATGATTCAAACATGATAATTTCCTAGGCTGTACAAGTTGAAGAAGGGTAATGGTGTGGTAACAACAACAACAAACCTAGTATAATTTCACGAGTGGGGTCTAGGGAGGATAGTGTGTACGCAGACCTTCCGATAGACCCCTGACTCAAGAAAAGTATGGTGTGGCAAAAACGTTCTACATAATTCAGTTGTAGGTGAGGAATCAATAAAGTTGACCTTCCAAACACCGATAACATAATTTGTGTACCAAAAACCGGAAAATGAATAAGATTACTACTTGTTTTCCAAGAAAATATTTTCTTGGAAAACATTTTCCACGAAAAACATTTTCCTTTATACCAAACACATCCAAAAAAGCTAGCTACAATATTACGCCCTTAGCATTGACTGAATTAAAAAAAAAAAAAAAAAAAAGCATGTGCAGTACACACGATAACATGGGAAAGGAACTACGATATGAGAAATTTGCTGCAATCAGGTTTCGACTTCCCGACATGTATGAAAGTTTGAACCCGCTCGACCATCTTTCCACAAAATCATCTTTGTTCAAGTGGATTCAATTACATATATATCGTTATATATGAATTTGAAATATTTCTCTAACTGCAAAAGTTGTTAATTTTAATTGGGAAAATTGTTAAGTGTGCACGGTTCTTCGTAATTGTAGGCAATACCTGGAGTTGAAGAAACTTGACTAAATTAGACTATATTCCACGGTATGAAGAAGGTAGTTCGTGATCTAATTTGCGTTTTAAATTGAATTACGTGTTATTCAATCTGTATTGCTGTAATAAATAATAAAGCAGTCAATTTTCTGAAAAAACAGAAATAGAAAGTTAGTAGAACCAGAACGACAAAATAAATTCTTGAAAATAATATAGGAATAAATCGAGCCCACTGAATACAAGTGTGTCCTTAAGGAAATTATTCCCTTCAAGTACCCGAGGTGCTGGTATATATCCTCCCAGGATAGGACGATTATCTCACCGGAGTGTTGGTACCAAAAACGCCGATGAACAACGAACCACTGGAAGGATGTAAAATATACTGGAGTTTTTATGTGCAGAAGAAGAAGAAGATCAGAAAAATTTCGTATGTAAAGATTCTGGGATTCAAGGAATATTTATAGACCATTTGGCACTGTTTTTGAAAAGGTTTGCAACCTTTCAGAAACAGCCATAGCTGTTGGAATAGAAATATTGCGGGAAACAACAAACATATTTAAAATAATCCGGGAAAGAAAACAGACCGAACCAGGTCGCGGGTCATGGGTTTTTCCAGATTGAATTTTCGTTAATTAATAAATAATTGAAAGGAATTTTGTCCAAAAAGATTAATCAATCAATCGATCTTTGACCAAATCTGAATCCGAGCCGAGCGACGATGATGACGGCGCGAGGCTTACCTTCTTCTTAACTCTTTAAGAGCAAGAAGAAGAGCAATTATATATATACCCATTAAAATCCTTATCTCCTCCAATATGGGACAATGTCCCTTTGCCATGGAGGGAAACTCAAATATTTCATTTTTCCTCCATTTTCCATTCACCCTCTTTAAGCTACACAAGCTTAAAAGCCCAACAATCCCCCACATGAATGGGAAATGGCTATAAAATAAAGGAATGCACAGACACGTGTGTGTTTTACATGCAATAATTAATTGCATCTGGATAAGTAGGTTTCCATTTGAACTTTCCGTAGTGAACTTATATCGGATATACTCGGTCAATCGGTAGATTTGATATCTTTGAACCGTCGAGCTTTGTTGTATACTTAGACAACATAAGTCACACAATCACTCCTTAACCATATGGTTCTCACGGTTGTATTCGTTTCAGCCATGAACACTGCTTGGTTTCATGAGTGCTTAGAGAATGGGCCTTTACTTTCATTCCCCTTGAAGCGGCTTACACTTCACACTCACATAGGTGATTTCTAAACGTGTAATCTTATAGACACACTATCTGGTCATATCCTGCCAGATTAGCAAATCATTAAAATGCTTTAAGCTTTATTGACTCATCAAAAAGCCTTAATGCTTTACCTCGATTTATGAACATTGTCTTCATCAGGAGAATAGGTTGAGTTGTTCGACAATATTAAACCATCATTCATAACTTTGTTTGATATCTTTGAACCTAGCTCGTGGGATCTCGAGTCTGCTAGGTAGAGTTACCGCCATGATGACTTGTCCTAGATCTTAACCCCATTCCCTTTGATGATCTTTCAACTGCCTCTCTACATAGGCCTTTTGTAAGTGGATCCGACACGTTATCTCTTGACTTTACGTAGTCAATCGTGATAACACCCTAGAGAGTAGGTGTCTAACGGTATTGTGTCTCCGTCGTATATGACGAGATTTTCCATTATACATAAAGCTCCCTGCCCTGCCTATTGCCGCTTGACTATCACAATATATACAAATAGGTGCCAAAGGTTTGGGCCAAAATGGAATGTCTTCCAAGAAATTTCGGAGCCATTCAACTTCTTCACCGGCCTTATCTAAAGCTATGAATTCAGATTCCATTGTAGAACGGGCGATGCACATTTGTTTCGATGATTTCCAAGACACTGCTCCACCCCTAATTATGAAAACATATTCACTCGCTGATTTAATTTCAAATGATCCGGTGATCCAATTTGCATCACTATATCCCTCAATCACGGAGCGATACTTGTTATATTGCAAAGCATAATTTTGGAAATGTTTTAGATACCCCAAAACTCGTTTCATTGCCATCCAATGTATGTGATTGGGATTACTTGTAAACCGACTCAGTTTGCTAATAGCACATGCTATATCTGGTCGCGTACAATTCATGATATACATCAAACTTCCCATACTCTTGCATAGTCCAGTTGTGAGTCACTTTCACCTTCATTCTTTTGAAGTGCATAACTCACGTCAATTGGAGTCTTGGCAATCTTGAAATCCAAATACTTGAACTTCTCAAGTACTTTTTCAATGTAATGAGACTGATAATGCTAGACCTTGTGGAGTCTTATGAATTCTGATTCCCAAGATAACGTCAGCGGCTCTTAAGTCTTTCATGGCGAATTTGCTATCCGACATGCGCTTAGTAGCATTTATATCTTCCATACTTTTGCTCATTATCAACATGTCATCAAAATATAAACAAACAATGACTTCATGACCTGGAGTATTTTTAATGTAAACACATTTGTCACACTCGTTGATTTTAAACCCACTTGCCAACATTATTTGGTCAAATTTAGCATGCCATTGTTTAGGGTGCTTGTTTAAGTCCATAAAGCGACTTAACAAGTTTACATACTTTTTCTTTACCAGGAACCACAAAATCCTCAGGTTGTTCCATGTAAATCTCTTCCTCCAATTCTCTATTTAAGAAAGCTCTTTTAACATCCATTCGATGGATTTCAAGACCATACACGACCGCTAGTGCCACTAACACCCTAATAGATGTTATCCTCGTTACTGGCGAGTAAGTGTCAAAGTAATCAATGCCTTCCTTTTGTCTATAACCTTTGACAACAAGTCTTGCCTTATATTTGTCAATAGTGCCATCAGCTTTCATTTTCCGTTTAAAGATCCATTTCGAACCTAAAGGCTTATTTCTTGGAGGAAGAGCAACCAATTTCCATGTATGGTTATCCAAAATTGGTTGAATCTCACTATTGACTGCCTCTTTCCAAAATGCTGAATTAGAAGATGACATAGCTGCTTTAAAAGTTTGAGGATCATTTTCAAGTAAGAATGTCACAAAATCTGGTCCAAAGGAAGTAGATGTTCTTTGACGTTTGCTAAGCCTTGGATCTTCTACACTTGGAGTATTTTCCTTTGATTCTTCCCGATTTCGTTTAGGTCTTTCACTTAACGACTCACATTCAGTTTTATACGGATATATGCTTTCAAAAAATTCAGCATTATCTGATTCCATTACCGTATTAATATAAATTTTGGGATTATCAGATTTATGAATCAAAAATCGACATGCTTTACTGTTTGTGGCATATCCAATGAAAATGCAATCTATAGTTTTTGGTCTGATGTTACCCTTTTAGGTAAAGGAACTTGTTCTTTTGCTAGACACCCCCACACTTTGAAATATTTCAAGTTGGGTTTTCTTCCTTTTCATTTTTCATATGAAATAGATTGCATTTTGTTGTGGGGTACTCTGTTGAGTATTCAGTTAGCTGTAAGGATACCTTCCCTCCACAAACTTTGCGGTAATTCGGAACGTATTAATAAAGAACTCATCATTTTTCTTTAATGTCCAATTTTTCCTTTCCGCAATTACATTGGATTGAGGTGTGTAAGTTGCAGTAGTTTGATGGATAATTTCATTTTTTGAACATATTTCTGCAAACGGAGATTCATATTCTCCACCCCTATCACTTCTAATCATTTTGATATTTTTGTTCAATTGATTCTCCACTTCATTCTTGTATTGCTTAAATGCTTCAATTGCTTCATCCTTACTATTAAGCAAATAAACATAACAATATCGAGTGCAATTGTCAATAAAAGTAATAAAATACTTTTTTCACCTCGAGACGGTGTCGACTTCATATCACAAATGTCAGTATGAATTAAGTCTAAAGGACTTGAATTCCTTTCAACAGACTTATAAGGATGCTTTACAAACTTAGATTCAACACATATTTGACATTTTGATTTATTACACTCGAATTTAGGCAATACTTCTAAATTAATTAACTTCCGCAAGGTTTTGTAATTGACATGTCCTAAACGAATATGCCATAAATTATTTGACTCCAATAAATAAGAAGAAGCTGAAATTTTATTCATACTGTTAACAACCATTACATTGAGTTTGAAAAGGCCCTCTGTGAGGTAGCCTTTTCCAACATACATTTCATTCTTGCTTACAACAACTTTATTAGAAACAAATACACACTTGAATCTATTCTTCACAAGTAACGAAATAGAAACTAAATTCTTCCTAATAGTAGGAACATGAAGAACGTTGTTGAGCGTTAACACCTTGCCGGAAGTCATCTTCAGCAATATCTTCTCATAACCTTCAATCTTGGCTGTTGCATTATTTCCCATGGAAAGAACTTCTTCGGGACCAGCAGTAGAGTAAGTCGCAAATGCTTCTTTGATAGCACAAACATGTCGAGTGGCTCCAGAGTCAATCCACCGCTCCTTCGGATTTCCAACGAGGTTGCATTCCGAAAGCATTGCATTAAGATCATCAATATCATCATTCTTCTCTACTATGTTGGCATGTCCCTTCTTCTTATCCTTTTTCGGGAGACGACAATCAGGGGCTTTGTTACCAACTTTTTCACAATTGCAACAGTTGCCCTTGAGTTTCCTTTTTTTTCTGTTCCTTATTCTGTCTAGAAGACCTCTTCCTCTTCTTACTTTTTGGAGCAGTCTCCTCAACGATATTAGCTCCCTTGATCGTTGAATTTCCACGAGACTTCTTCTTGGCTGTTTTGTTGTCTTCCTCAATCTTGAGACGTATCACAAGATCTTCCAACTTCATTTCTTTGCGCTTGTGCTTAAGATAGTTCTTGAAATCTCTCCACAAAGGAGGCAATTGTTCAATCATTGCAGCCACTTGAAATGCTTCATTCACGACCATGCCTTCAACAATAAGGTCATGAAAAATAAGTTGAAGCTCCTGAACTTGGGTTCCCACATATCATTTTATAGTCTAGAAACTTGGCAACCACGAACTTCTTCAAGCATGCATCTTCAGTCTTGTACTTCTTCTCAAGTGTGTCCCATAATTCTTTCGAAGTATTCATCGCACTGTGCAGATTGTACAAGTCATCCTCTAAAGCGCTTAAGATATAGCCTTTGCAAAGAAAATCTGCCTGTTTCCATGCCTCAACAATTATGAATTTCTCGTTGTCTGGCATGTCAGCAGCAGGCACTGAAGGTTCTTCACTGGTGAATTTCTACATACCAAGTGTGGTAAGCCAGAAGAACACCCTTTGCTGCCATCCTTGAAGTTGGCTCCAAAAAATTTCCCCAGTTTCTCGGCCGGTGGAATAGCAGTCCGGCTTGACGAGGCTATCGTCGTTGCTGCAACTGTCAAAGAAGAATTTCCATTATCAATTGCCATTTTTCACTGTCAACAACAGAAGAGTTTAATTAATGGCAAAACCAGACCAGTAAATAATACTGTAATTAATAATATATAGTACGTATTATAAATAAAAATTGAAGTTTTTATATACTGTTCACAGAAAATGATGAAGTTTTTATGTTCTTCAAATCGTTTTCAGAATCTCAATACTCCGATGAAGTTTTTATATCTTCAAATCAGAATAGAAAAATTCAGAAGGAGTAGAAAACCACACAGGTTTTAATCTCCATAAACAGAATACAGAATATAATAAATTAATTTTCTTAAGATTGTTATTCAATCTGTATTGCTGTAATAAATAATAAACCAGTAAACTTTCTGGAAAAACAGAAACAGAAAGTTAGTAGAACCAGAATGACAAAATAAATTCTGGAAAATAATATAGGAATAAATCGAGCCCACTAAATACACAGTGTTTCCTTAAGGAAATTATTTCCCTCATGTACCCGAGGTGCTGGAATTTATCCTCCCAAGATAGAACGATTTAACTCACCGGAGTGTTGGTACCAAAAATGCTTGATGAACAACGAACCACTCGAAGGCTGTAAAACACACTGGAATTTTTATGTGCAGAAGAAAAAGAAAAAGATCAGAAAATCCGAAGCCGAAGCCCAGCCGAGCCGAGCGAGCGACGACGACGACGACAGCGCGAAGGTTGCCTTCTTCTTAACTCTTTAAGAGCAAGAAGAAGAGCAATTATATATATACCCATCAAAATCCTTGTCTTCCTCCAATATGGGACAATGTCCCTTTACCAAGGAGGGAAACCCAGATATTTTATTTTCCCTCCATTTCGCATTCACCCTCTTTAAGCTACACAAGATTAAAAGCCCAACATTACGTTCAAGTAACAAATTCTCTATAACTTTTTTCATTTGACGTTTTTACTTATTACACTTACATGTTATAAGATTTCCTCCGAATGAAATGTACATTAAACTAACAGTTGGTTTTAGAAATATTATATTTCCTCTCGATGGGTTAAATTAAACTACTCAAAAGTCAAAACAAGCCGAGGACGCAGGGATTTAATTTACATTGTTCATAACTACTTGAGCAAGATTTTAAGTATAATCAACACTTGGGATGACAATCATGCGGACAACGAAATTGGTGCCAGAATAATAAGAAGCATTAGAAAATATGCCTTGAATTTATGGCTAGCTACTATCTCAATTCCAAGATAATTCAAAATACAATGAAATAAATCAAGCAGAGTGTGGCCCGAAATACAAAGCCGATTTGAATTTCTTGTGACTCGTTGACAAGTATTCCTTGATTTAAGCTGATAGAGATTGAACTCCTAATAACATGCTTTTCTGAGATCCATGATATTGACCCCTGAACAAAACCTCCGGAAATTTCACCTGTTCGAGTGAAGGATATCATATATGTGGCTTGTTGGTTGACCTTGGTGAAGACAAGCCTGATAGGCTCAACCACCGTATGAACTCCTAGAATTTGAGTGATGCTAACAACATAAATGGAATTTGCATCACAAACATTTGTAACTCTCCTTGTATAGTTTTGATTCTCCGATCCAAATACAACAGAGAAAGAAGGATAGTTCAGCTCCGCCTCAGATATGCTCGATACTATCGAGCAGTTGACACTTTGATGCACAATGAGCCCAATCTCCTTTTCTGTGTATCCAAGGCCACACAAGTATTAAATATAGCTTATGGGGTGAATATCATAAATAAGCCCTGGATTACTTGCTTTTGATGGATTATATGCCCAGCACCAATGGCAAATACATCAGCAGGAAGTTTCCTTTCATCAAGGATGGGCTGACCCTCGTGGTTGGATTGATCAGCTGTAGTCATAATTGCGAATTTAATTGCAGCTGGTGACCAATTCAGGTGTGCACTTTTGAGCAAAGCTGCAATGTCGCTTAGGTGAGGACAAGACATTGAGGTACCTGGGATGATGTTAAATATCGAATCTGTGCCTTTTATATTCTCCATTGAGAAAAGCCATGCAGCAAGAATATTCACTCCAGGGCCAATAATGTCAGGCTTGAGTATGCCTGGACTTGCGGAGTTTGGGCCCCTGGAAGAAAAAAAATGCTATAGATGGTGTATCCATAAAGCCTATCTTTGTTCCTTCGGAATAAGTTCCTGCCTTGGCTGTGGGGATGAGCTAATGTAGCTTTTAGTTGTTTTCTCCTCAGCATGACCCAAAGTAGTTGCTGGAAGGACATGAGCAACTTCAAAAGTGGTATCGCCTATGACCTTTGGATTGACTAGAATCATGGCGACACCAGTCACATCCTTTACCGTTTTGCCTTGAGAAGTTCCAAGTGTCGCATCATTTCCACCCCTCATTCCCCATTTTTTTTAAAGAGAGTTGCCCGCTAAATTTTGTAGCTAGTAATTGTCATTGCGTCATGACTATGTTAAGATAAAGGTGCCCCAGTGCCTTCGAATTGTGGGTCCGCCTCTGCATATTAACCCGTTATAAGTTCGTCATGCTTTACAAATAACTTTTTTAACAATTGATGTGGGGATGCACGTATATTGCAAATTTTATATGTAAAATTATTTTTTACATATAAAATCTCTAAATAAGATGCACATGTTATGCACTTATATTTAAACTAGTTATTATTGCAAGCAACCTTCAAAAGAAAAATATATTAAATTGGAGATTGCAAGCATTCATATTTAAAACAAAGATTTTCATTACTATGGAAACTAATTAAGCTAACTCTCCTTTCACTGCATTAAAGATGAGAAATTGAGAGCGCAAGCAGTTTAAGCAGTATCGTAGCCTTCAAAAGATAAATGGCTTTTAATATATTTGGACAATCAGTCAATAAAATTACATCCGCTAGTCAAACATGCAAAAAATATATATTGAGATTACGCTGGGACATCTGCATTTCCAGCCATGATAGCAACATGCCACCTCCCTATGCAAATGGAAAGGGAAATGCGAGTTTTACGAGACATTTTTACTCTTCTATGACGTCAAATACAAAGCCGATTTGAACTTCTGGTGACTCGTTGACAAGTATTCCTTGTTTTAAGCTGATAGAGATTGGACTCCTAACAACATGCTTTTTTAGGATCCATGATATTGATCCCTGAACAAAACCTCTGGAAATTTCACTCGTTCGGGTGAAGGATATCATATATGTGGCTTGTTGGTTGACCTTGGAGAAGACAATCCGGATAGGCTCAACCACCGTATGAACTCCTGGAATTTGAGTGATGCTAACAACATAAATGGAATTTGCATCACCAACATTTGTAACTATCCTTGTATAGTTTTGATTCTCCGCTCCAAGTACAACGGAGAAAGAAGGATAGTTCAGCTCCGCCTCAGATATGCTCGATACTATCGACCAGTTGACACTTTGATGCACAATGAGCCTAATCTTCTTTTTTGTGTATCCAAGGCCATACAAGTATTAAATATAGTTTATGGTGTGAATAGCATAAATAAGCCCCGGTTTACTTGCTTTTGATGGATTTATATGCCCGGCACCTATGGCAAATATATCATCAGGAAGTTTCCTTTCATCAAGGATGGACTGACCCTTGAAGTTGGATTGATCAGCTGTAGTCATAATTACGAATTTAATTGCAGCTGGTAACCAATCCGGGTGTACACTTTTGGTCAAAGCTGCAACGCCGCTTAGGTGGGGATAAGACATTGAGGTACCCGAGATGATGTTAAATGTCGAATCTGTGCCTTTTATATTCTTCATTGAGAAAAGCCATGCAGCAAGAATATTCACTCCAGGACCAATAATGTCAGGTTTGAGTATGCATGGACTTGCAGAGTTTGGGCCCCAGGAAGAAAAAAATGCTACAGATGGTGTATCCATAAAGTCTATCTTTGTTCCTTCTGAATAGATTCCTGGCTTGGCTGTGAGGATGAGTTAATATAGCTTTTAATTTTTTTCTCCCTCGGCATGAACCAAAGTAGTCGCTGGAAGGACATGAGCAACTTTAAAAGTGGTATCGCCGACGACCTTTGGATTGACTAGAATCATGACGACACCAGCCACATCTTTTATCGTTTTGCCTTGACAAGTTCCAAGTGTCACATAATTTCCACCCCTCATTCCCTATTTTTTTTAAGAGAGTTGCCCGCCAAATTTTGTAGCTAGTAATTCGCATTGCGTCATGACTATGTTAAGATAAAGGTGCCCCACTGCCTTCGAATTGTGGGTCCACATCTGCATATTAACCCATTATAAGTTCGTCATGCTTTATAAATAACTTTTTTAACAATTGATGTGGGATGCACGTATATTGCACATTTTGTATCTAAAATTATTTTTTGCATATAAAATCTCTAAATAAGATGCACATGTTATGCACGTATATTTAAACTAGTTATTACTGCAAGCAACCATCAAAAGAAAAATCTATTAAATTGGAGATTGCAAGCATTCGTATTTAAGATAAAGATTTTCATTACTAGGGAAACTAATTAAGCTAACTCTCTTATCACTGCATTAAAGATGAGATATGGAGAGTGCAAGCAGCTTAAGCAGTAGTCGTAGCCTTCAAACGATAAATGGAATTTAATATATTTGGACAATCAGCCAATAAAATTACATCTGCTAGTCAAACATGCAAAAAATATATATTGAGATTACGCCCTGGGACATCTGCCTTTCCGGCCATGATAGTAACATGCCACCTCCCTATGAAAATGGAAAGGGAAATGCGAGTTTTACGAGACATTTTTACTCTTTTGTGGCGCGAAATACAAAGCCAATTTGAACTTCTGGTGACTCGTTGACAAGTATTCCTTTTTTTAAGCTGATAGAGATTGGACTTCTAACAACATGCTTTTTTGAGATCCATGATATTGACCCCAGAACAAAACCTCTGGAAATTTCGCCCGTTGGGATGAAGGATATCATATATATGGCTTGTTGGTTGACCTTGGTGAAGACAAGCCTGATAGGCTTAACCACCGTATGAACTCCCGGAATATGAGTGATGCTAACAACATAAATGAAATTTGCATCACCAACATTTGTAATTCTCCTTGTATAGTTTTGATTCACCGCTCCAAGTACAACGGAGAAAGAATGATAGTTCAGCTCCGCGTCAGATATGCTCGATACTAACGAGCAGTTGACACTTTGATGCACAATGAGCCCAATCTCCTTTTCTATGTATCCATGGCCACACAAGTATTAAATATAGTTGATGGGGTGAATATCATAAATAAGCCCTGAATTACTTGATCTTGATGGATTTATATGCCCAGCACCAATGGCAAATACATCAGCAGAAAGTTTCCTTTCATCAAGGATGGGCTGAACCATGAGGTTGGATGATCAGCTGTAGTCATAATTGCGGATTTAATTGCAGCTGGTGACCAATCCGAGTGTGCACTTTTGAGCAAAGCTGCAATGCCGCTTAGGTGGGAATAAGACATTGAGGTACCTGAGATGATGTTAAATGTCAAATCTGTGCCTTTTATATTCTCCATTAAGAAAAGCCATGCAGCAAGAATATTCTCTCCAGGGGCAATAATGTCAGGCTTGAGTATGCCTGGACTTGCGGAGTTTGGGCCCCTGGAAGAAAAAAAATGCTATAGATGATGTATTCATAAAGCCTATCTTTGTTCCTTCCGAATAAATTCCTGCCTTGGCTGTGGGGATGAGTTAATGTAGCTTTTAATTTTTTTCTCCTTAGCATGGCCCAAAGTAGTTGCTGGAAGGACATGAGCAACTTCAAAAGTGGTATCGCCTACGACCTTTGGATTGACTAGAATCTTGGCGACACCAGCCACATCCTTTACCGTTTTGCCTTGAGAAGTTCCAAGTGTCGCATCATTTCCACCCCTCATTCCCCATTTTTTTAAAGAGAGTTGCCCGCCAAATTTTGTAGCTAGTAATTGTCATTGCGTCATGACTATGTTAAGATAAAGGTGCCCCAGTGCCTTCGAATTGTGGGTCTGCCTCTGCATATTAACCCGTTATAAGTTCGTCATGCTTTACAAATAACTTCTTTGACAATTGATGTGGGATGCACGTATATTGCACATTTTGTATGTAAAATTATTTTTTATATATAAAATCTCCAAATAAGATGCACATGTATCACGTACATTTAAACTAGTTATTATTGCAAGCAACCATCAAAAGAAAAATATATGAAATTGGAGATTGCAATCATTCATATTTAAGACAAAGATTTTCATTACTGGGGAAACTAATTAAACTAACTCTCCTCTCACTGCATTAAAGATGAGAAATTGAGAGTGCAAGCAGCTTAAGCAGTAGTCGTAGCCTTCAAAAGATAAATGGCTTTTAATATATTTGGACAATCAGCCAATAATATTACATCCGCTAGTGAAACATGCAAAAAAATATACATTGAGATTACGCTGGGACATCTGCCTTTCCGGCCATGATAGTAACATGCCACCTCCCTATGCAAATGGAAAGGGAAATGCGAGTTTCACGAGACATTTTTACTCTTCTAACTTCAATTTCTATTTTATACCTTAAAATATTTAAAATATGTATCCATTTATAAGTTCGTCATGCTTTGCAAATAACTTTTTTTGCAAATAACTTTTTTATTGATGTGGGATGCACGTATATATCACATTTAGTTCTAAATTATTTTTACATATAAAGTCTTTAAATAAGATGCACATGCTATGCACGTAGCTTTAAACTTATTATTATTAAACTAAATTTATACACAATATTAAATTTATTTGTATACTTTTTCGATTATGGAATGCAAATATTTGTGTGCAGGCTAAAAATGAAAAAAAACCCATAAAATGACCCACCCAATTGGGTTCTTTTACTTTGCATTTCATGATTGAGTTTGTCAAGTACTCCAATTTTGTTAAGTAATCATCGCAAAATAATCAAAGTTAAGTAACCATTAAATGCGGATTCCTTTTTTATGATACACGGCAGAAATGATTCTTTTTAAATAATTCTTGTTCTTTTTGCAATTTAATGAGATTCCTCAATTTTCGACTGTTATTTTGAAGAATACGTATGGCTTGGTCCCAACTGATTAATAATGGGATTCGATACCATAAGGTATGAGCTTATAATTCACCTAAATAAATAAGTTCAACTTTACTTTTCTCCCAAGCACATGGCCATCTGCTAGTGTAAACCTATATGTTTGGTGAATTATAAGCTCAAGACTATATCAAATCCCATACCTAGGTGGCAAACATGCTGGCCGGGATAAATATGGGCGGGTCGAAAATGAATAATATAAAAACGAATAAATTATCTGACCTGACTCATATTTAATACGTATAAGAAACGGGTTAACAACGGATAACATGAATATCCATATTGTTCACGGCTTTTTGAATATGATCACTTTTGGGAAAATCTTAGTCTACCAAACTTGAAAAATCTCCAATTTGAGGCTTTATAAATGTAAAAGTTAAACACATTGGTTATCTATTTCTAAGGAATAATACGGTTTTTATTCATATTTGACCCATTTTAAAAAGTTTATTAATCCTACCAATTTTTTCACGAATAATATGAATGAACAACAGTTGTTTTTTAACTATTTTGTCACCACTGTCCATACCTATCATTTGGGACTGTCCAACATATATTCTCCAAAATATATTTGGAAACTCATTGAATTCATCAAAAGTTGGGCCTCAGCTAAAGGCTATAAGGAACTGTGAGGTCGTCCTAGTTAATAGTATTGCTAAGTTGAGCAAAATCTTTTGACTACATCCAAAACTCATTCTTTATCTGCCTATATCATTTGAGAAACGGAAAAGATCCAAAAATATCCTTGTAGTATGCGAAATTGAACACATTTTCCCTTAGTTAATACTTTAGCTCAAGAATGCCCTTACTGTCGCATAATTGGTCCACATATACATTTTCTAAACGGAACCCCACCCAAATTAATGGCGAGTGCAAGCAACTTAAGCGGTAGTCGTGACCTTCAAAAGATAAATGGCTTTTAATATATTTGGACGACCAGCCAATAAAATTACATCTGCTAGTCAAACATGCAAACATTATACATTGAAAGTACGCCGGGACATCTGCCTTTCCGGCCATGATAGTAGCATGCCACGTCCCTTTGCAAATGGAAAGGGAAATGCGAGTTCACGAGACAATTTTACTATTCTCACTTCAATTTCTATTTTATACCTTAAAAATATTTTAAAAATATGTATACATTTATAAGTTCATCATGCTTTGCAAATAACTTTTTTAACAATTGATGTGGGATGCACTTATATTGCACATTTAGCTCTAAATTATTCTTGTTTAAATATGAAATCTCTAAATAAGATGCACATGCTATGCACGTACCTTTTAAACTAGTTATTATTAACTTTTACTCTTTCACTCGCTCTTTACTAAATGGAGTATCTTCATTACATGAATTTGATTTTCCTCTCTTATTTATTTATTCAAATCTATTAAATTGAATTTAGTGCTATCATTAAGCATATATTATCATAACTAAAATAATTATTTAAGTAAGCCTCACCTTAATGATATTTTTGGATGAAAAAATCACATGACTTGCTCATGACTTATTCGTTAACCTCTTTAAGAACTAAAATCTCATAATTACCTATTTTGTGAAGAAAACTCATTAATTATATTTAACACTAAAAATATGCATACATATTTTTTTTTAATACAAAATATATGAATTTGGGGACTGATCGAGTGACAAATAAAAGAAGTAACAGTAGTAGTGTAGTTGGATATAGTGAGGAATAAGAGTTAAATAAGAAGAAAGAAAAGAAGTCTTGTAATCGACCATGTCATAATGGACAAGTAGTTTCAACAGGGGGAATTTATAAAATTAGGTAGCTGAGAGCTGAACGTATTCACTTCTGTAAGATACAAAAGTCAGTGTCCAAAATATGAAGATTAGGTTTGTAATCATAAAGATGGTACTATTTATCTTTTGAGGATGAAGACGCCATTAAGTTCTCATTTTGGAAATTTGAATTGTCCTACCGTGAAGTATCTTTTATTAGACATCGCGTTCTCATTTTTGGGAATTTTGACACTATATTAAGTGCCAATCAGTGTAGTTTAATTTGCATTTTATAGAATATCTCGGCAACTTTTCGCTTTCTCTTTTCCAGAATCATGTATGAGGAATAAAGCCTAATTTCAATAATTTGAACAAATGTAGAGTACTGCTTTTCTTCCTGAGTCTGTGATCGTGCATGTGACCTTTTATTTTGCATTTCATGGTTGAGTTTGTCAAATACTTATTCTAATTATGTTAAGTGTAATCATCCCAAAATAATCAAAGTTAAGTAACCATTAAAGGCGGATTCCATTTTTTATGATAAACGACAAAAATGATTTTTTATAAATAATTCTTGTTCTTTTTGCAACGTAATGAGAGCCTTCCTGATGCTTGATTATAGGAAAGAAAAGAAAAAGAATATAATTATGTTTTTTTAAATCTCTTTTGCTCAAGTATGCTGTATCTTCTCCTAACTGTCCAATCATAGCAGTGAGAATAATTTATCCCTTCCTTCATATTTTATCCTTTCTATGCTAATAATCCATTTTTTCCAACCCCCACTCTCAACGTTCAACCACTCCACCCTGAGAAGAGAGCCCTAAAAATAAAGGCTTCTACCCTTGGAAAAAGAAATAAAACAAGCACTGGCATATACATGCAGTTGCAATTATAAATATGACAGTATCAAATTACGAATAAGGACGTGGATAGATTTACTTTACAGTTAATATTATAAGTAAATAAATAATTTCAAAAATTTGTTATTACATGCAATAATTAAATCTTTTCATTTTATTTAAGTAAAATATGAAAATAAAATTAAAAAGTACTTAATTCTTTTAATATAAGTTAAATATATAAAAAATTATTCAACAAATATAAAAGCATTCACCGCTAAAGTCACTATATATTAGAAAGCTATCCTAAAAATAAGAAGAAATATTTATACATTAATATCCTATGTATTAGGTTTAACGGTTATTTTGGTATATACTATATTTTGTTAAGGGCATTTTTGGTAAGAAGAAAAGTCAAAACTGCTTCTGCTTCTGGGAAGAAGCTACTTTTTTCTGCTTCTCAGAAACTGCTTCTGCTTCTTTCCAAAAGAACTTTTTTTCCTCAAAAAAGCTTGGCCAAACACCTCAAGTAAGGGAAAAAAAGTGCTTTTGGAAAAAAAAAAAAGAAGCACTTTTGGCCTCTTGAGAAGCTTGGCCAAACAGGCTAATATTGCAACTGGCCACCAAGCTTAGGTTTCCCATGTCAAAAGGGCATTAGGAATGTACTAAGAAATGAATCAGATCATAGAGACAAGCAGGGCTTCCAATATAAATGATCAACCAAAGAGGAGCTTCCAAGAATCTATACAACAACAATAACAACGACCCAGTAAAATCCACAAAGTGGGGTCTGAGGAGAGGGTAGTGTGTACGCAGACCTTATCCCTACCCGAGGGAGTAGTTCCAAGAATCTATACATGAAGGTTTAATGACTTGAACAAGATGTTGTACTGAGAAGAAAATTTACACCATTGTCTGTTGTCAAAAAATAACCATTTACGGAATGAGCAGATCACATGGATCTTACTCACAAGTTTTTTTGAGTAAAATAATGCTAACATGAGATTTAGGAGCAAATAGCTTTACCAAGATATACTAACATAAAGTCATTGTTTTACAAAGTCATAAGAAGAAGCCAAACTCTTTATGTAACCCCCAATATGCACCAAAGATTGGAGGCTTACACAACAACAGCAAATGTCATTGGCTACTGGCCATGTTAAACCAATATAAGGGCTTGTAAAGCTGATATACAATGTGGGGCGTTCCAGCTTTGGTGAAGACTGTAGTTGTGACCGTTCACATAGCTCTGCTAGAACGAAAGAAGTCCAACAGTCAGGTTCAAGCTCAGCAAATTACAGTTCACATCACAATCATTATTTTGCTAGCAGGTTATGATCATGGCCTCTATGTCTGGAGTCAACTTGATCAAGTCGAGCTCCTTTTCACAACCTTGAATATTTTTTTTTTAAATTAAACTCGTTTCCATTGATCATTGATGTGCAAAAAGTTACAATTTGAGTTTGGCATTCCAAACTTTGTACATGATCATTGAGAAGAGGGTTCTGAGTTAGTTCTAACTAGGAATCTAATATACAAGGTGTTATGGGGGGTCATAACTAATGTGGGAAGGTTTAATTTTTTGGATCCTGAAGGAAGGCAAGTTCCATCTAATGTGGTTGAATTGAAAGACTAGTTTTACCCACAAAGAAAACGAAAATAAAGAGAAGGATCTCAAAAAGATTTAGTACATATAAACAATCACAGTGATAACTCTTATAGTAAATTTTGTTAAAAATAGATATAAGTACAGTAATAACTCTTATGGTAAAAGCAGTAAGACTAATTTCCCGAAATCTGGAGAATATCGAACATCAGAGGTTCTATTATCCAAGTTACTAGTCATGTACTCGGATTAGTAGCTTGCCACATTTTATCCTAATCTAGGAGTCGAGCATTTTATGTGGCAGAACAGGGATCTTTGCATATACCTTAATCAAGATACCAAATCAAAATCTCGGTATGAAGAACTAATGGCTAGGAACAGCACGTGCGGCTTCTTCTAAGATTTTTCGAGCTTCACCATCAGATTCAGCAAGCTCACCAGGGGTCTGCAATAGCCAAAATGAATCGATCAGACATCAAAAACCTCTTAACTACACATGATAAATCAATGAAATAGCGCATCAGCTGCTAACCTTTCCATATATATTGGTCCTAGTAGGAGAAGACCCTAATGTCAGTAATAACCTGATGACAGCTACATGTTCACCTCTGGCAGCATGATGAAGAGGCTTTCAAAATCAACCAAACATGATTAGCGACAAGATGCTTATATACTATTTAGTTCTACAAAACTAAAACAAAGACAAAAAATTTAGTAGAAATCCTTACCGTATCACCTTCTGCATCAACAGTGTCCAACATCCTCTTCACACATTCAGGGTCAGGAGCACTGTTGATCAGCAGTTGGGCTATCTCCGTGTATCCTGTTAAAAGTCATATATATTTTATGAGAAATGAATTGATATAATCCAAAGATATGACAACAGAAGATAGGTATGACGGTGAAATATCAGTATGAACTTGGAGCGTATGACATACCGCCAGCACAAGTATCATGCAATGGGATTGCTCCATCTTCATCCTTAGCCTCCAAAGAAGCTCCCCTCTCCAACAATAGCTGGGTGGGAAAACACAATTAAGGATATTTGTTATCCTTTTGGCTATAAGATAATTAAGATATAAAATATCAATTAGAATGGCGAATTCATGAAATAGAGTTAGCAAGTGCACCAACCTGCACACAAGGGAGATAGCCATACAAACATGTTAGATGAAGAGCAGTGTCCCCATCTTCAAGAGGTTGATCAATGCTGCCACTCAAATTATCTGCCGCAGTCCATTAGGTAGAAACACGTGAATATGAAGCCAAAATGGAAAACATGATATATTGAACAGGTTATTCAACTTCCAAAAAAAAAATATATCAACTTCAACTCAAATATTATCCAAATGCCAGAGTTAATTCTCCTGACAGAGTCAACATACTACTCATTGCAAGTCTCAAAATCAAACTATACTAAAATAATTAGTTGTACAGAATGAGGAGGAGAGCAAGTAAGAATTGTAGTTAGCAAGTTTTGAAACCAATAGATCAGCACAAATGAGTGTATAAAGTAGAATTACAAGGCAAGTCCCTCGGAACTCTGCTGAACCATATTGTGCAACTACTTCACAGGAAAATGAGAAGAACATATGATAGTTTGCGGATGATTCTACGGAGTTGGATGGGATGAGTGAGCAGATGAATCACCAGAAAGGTGCACTCAGAAGGCACAAGAGAGGTATAAAAGATTTTCTCTCCTTCCGTCACGCACGCGCACACGCACACACACCTTTATACAGGCATGGCTTCTCAGTAGTCCAACTCAATTTCATTCCTACTCCTTCCATCATCCTTGCAATTGACCAACCTTGTTGACATGAATCTTTGACATTAAGGGTGACGAAGCATCTTTCAGTACATTCTTTCTTTTTGAAAGTTAAAGCATTTCGTCGAAATTTAGAACTATCTAAACTATAATAAGATCAAGACTAAGAACCACCAATATATTCGGACTCTGCCCCCACATAAAGTTCTGATCTTTCAAACAATTAACCCGCATTAACAAACCCATTCAAATAGCCATTGAATATCTTCCCACCACCTTCAAACCCCTTCAAGCAATAATCCTGCCACCACATACCGCATCACATTTCAACAACAGCTTACCACAAAAACTTTTAAAAAGATCATCTTCACACCCCCACCCACTCATTTTTATCAAATTGATGGTCAGAGCAGTAAATTAGTTCACCTCACAAAAATCAAAAAGCACCAAATCACAATCACTAGTACCGAGTATACTTTAACACACTGGCCAAAAAATAAACATCATCCCACAAATAACCCAAAGAAATAGAAAACCCCAGCTTTAATTCTGAAATCCTCAACAGGCAATAAAGTATAAAAATCAAAAAACAATTAGATATAATACCGGAAATACAAATCGCAAAAAATAAGACAAAATAATTACCAAGGGCATTGCGGAGGGCGTCGAGGTTTCCATTCTCGGCAGCATCGAAGATGTTGAGCAGATGAGGAGGGACATCGTTGGGCTCCTCCGCCTCAATTTCCTGTCCGAAAATAGCTCCTTCCTCTTCTTCCTCTTCACCCATCATACCGTTACGTCCCCTTTGTACGGCCATTTCTCTCAATCTTTGCTCTGTTTTTCTCAACAAGTCAAAACCCTGCAGCTTAAACCCCAGGCTATGAGAACACACTATTGTCGCCGTGCCGGTCTTTTTGCGGGTAGGCTAAAAGTTCCTTCGGTATATTCTTTGAGAAAATGGACAAAATTGGATCATTATGTTTGGGTAGGTTTAAAGTAGTCCTTTATATATATATATTCTTGAGCATTTTGGTCTATTATGTTTGTAAAAGGTGAGCATTTTTGGTAAAATAATATTTAATAAACTCTGACTGTTAATTTTAATGAGATGGTGAGAGAAATAAAATTAACCAGAAACATTAAATATCATCAGATTCTTTTATGTTAGGAAAATATGTCGGACCAACTCTATGAGCTACCGAAATCTTCCTAAAGTCAATTATTGCGAGTATTACAATTCATTCGGTTGACATGTCCAATCGATTCATTGCCTATCGGGTACAAATCGTATTCAACGCAAGCATCATTGTTTGACATGACTCGATACTACTAAACATAGAAATTAGTGACGGGCAAATTCAATAGCTAAACAACAAAATTTATCTCTAATCCTACTTAGCGACGGATTAACGATCGATTATTAAAATAGTTGTTAGGTATCGCATCGATTTAACGATAGATTAGCGATAGTCCTGATCGATTGTTTGAAGTGAGAAGAAGTACGAATTGCACCCGTCCTGATTGATTATTTGAAGTGAAGAGTTTTTTCCTACTAATGAGTATAAATATGCGGTTCAATAATGATACAAAAGTATTCTGTTGTGAGAAATATATAATTTTAGCCGCGCAGGACCAACTGACCAATTTTATATTTTGCCCTTCAATTTTTGTTATTCCCCTCTCTAAAATAGACTAAGTCTGCAAATCGCTCTGAAACATGACCACGTGGGCCAAATTAGTTTAGATAGGGTCAACAGGGACCAAAGTGAATTTATAAAAATGACACCGCATTGATTTGTGACAATCGAAAGTGTGTTAGAGTAACAACTTGTTTGGATGGTTGTTTCTCGTTGTATCGTATTGTATTGTCATCTCAAAATAATATTTGTTTTGATTATTCCATTAAAATTGATTGTATTGTATTGCTAAATCCATTGTTTCGGAACAATGAAAAGTTTCCTTTTTTGAAACAACCGATTTGATGTGGTGGGATTGTTTCCTATTTTTCTTTCCAATTATGCCCTAACTTATTACTGCACAATTCTATTTTATCCTTTAGCTTTTTTTGCTATTTTAACTCCAAATCTCCAACCTATAACCTACTTTATTTTTTCCAGAACTTCTGCTGCCAACGTTAAAGGTGTTTTGCCGCCTTCGGTTTTATTTTTTCTCTTAATTTGCTTTTAACTCAATTCTAATTAGCTGTGCTCCTTTGTTTTGCCTTCTTCTGTCTCACTCCTTTGTTCTGCTTTCTTAAGGTATTTTGCTTTCTTCTGTTTTGTTTTTTAAAATTATTTTCATGCATATTTTTTGATAAATTTAATATTTAAACAATTGAGGGTATTTTATAAATTTATCAGTTACAGTACAGTACGATACAGTCAAATCAAACACCAAAATATTATTTAACAATAACAAACAATATAATCTATCCGAACATTATATTCATAAAACGATACGATACAATACGTTACAATACAATACATTATAAAACGATGGGGAACAATGATCCAAACAGAATGTAACTAAAGTACAATAATTTATTTTCAAAGGACAGATGAAAGTCATTTTTCTTTTCCAAAGTCATAATTTATTAGTATACAAGTGATTGTATAATATCTATACACCAGCCTTTTCCTCTTTTCGCATTATATATATATATATA